AAACTTAGAAATTACCTATGCAAAATTCCTACTGTGATCAAAGAAACTTTGATAGTGTAAACCATCCTTTATAACACTCAGTAAGTTTCCTCAAACATTTCTTACAAATCCTTCAAAACTTAGAATTTACCCATGCAAAATTCCTACTGTGATCACAGAAACTTTGATAGTGTAAACCATCCTTTATAACACTCAGTAAGTTTCCTCAAACATTTCTTACAACTCCTTCAAAACTTAGAATTTACCTTTGCAAAATTCCTACTGTGATCACAGAAACTTTGATAGTGTAAACCATCCTTTATAACACTCAGTAAGTTTCCTCAAACATTTCTTACAAATCCTTCAAAACTTAGAATTTACCCATGCAAAATTCCTACTGTGATCACAGAAACTTTGATAGTGAAAACCATCCTTTATAACACTCAGTAAGTTTCCTCAAACATTTCTTACAAATCCTTCAAAACTTAGAATTTACCTTTGCAAAATTCCTACTGTGATCACAGAAACTTTGATAGTGTAAACCATCCTTTATAACACTCAGTAAGTTTCCTCAAACATTTCTTACAAATCCTTCAAAACTTAGAATTTACCTATGCAAAATTCCTACTGTGATCACAGAAACTTTGATAGTGTAAACCATCCTTTATAACACTCAGTAAGTTTCCTCAAACATTTCTTACAAATCCTTCAAAACTTAGAATTTACCCATGCAAAATTCCTACTGTGATCACAGAAACTTTGATAGTGTAAACCATCCTTTATAACACTCAATAAGTTTCCTCAAACATTTCTTACAAATCCTTCAAAACTTAGAATTTACCCATGCAAAATTCCTACTGTGATCACAGAAACTTTGATAGTGTAAACCATCCTTTATAACACTCAGTAAGTTTCCTCAAACATTTCTTACAAATCCTTCAAAACTTAGAATTTACCTTTGCAAAATTCCTACTGTGATCACAGAAACTTTGATAGTGTAAACCATCCTTTATAACACTCAGTAAGTTCCCTCAAACATTTCTTACAAATCCTTCAAAACTTAGAATTTACTTAGTATGTAACTTTACTCATAGAAACTTTGATAGTGTAGACCAGCCTTTTAAAAACCCAGCACTGATAGTATCATTCAGCATTTTGTGTTTAATAGCATTTTTTTCGCATTTGTATCTTAGGCATCACAGTTACAAAAAGGTGGAAGGCAAGATTGAACTTTCCGAGATTGGACCAAGATTTGAAATGAAAGGTATATAGAAAATTAAAGCACTACGGACCATAGTCTACACGTCTACAGTCTACACAGGTCTGCAAACAAGTTGTTACAAATCTGTTCACAAGCTGTCAACGAGTTGTGTTCGCACTGCTTGTTCCCAGTTGTTGTAACAAGTTTGGAACAAGCTGTTAACAACTTGGAACAAGCTTGATGGCACTATCAGACTTGTTACAGGGTTGTTCTAACAAGTCTGATACAGTATGATGTAACAAGAATGTTACAAGATTGACGACGCAAGGTTGTAACAAGATTGTTATATCATGACTGCATCCGACTTGTTGGAACAACCTTGTAACAAGTCTGATAATATCAACATGGTTGTTACAAGTTGTTAACAGCTTGAGATGCGAGATATTTTCGCGTGTATATCTCATCTATTCTAGCAAGTCAACACCTAATAAAACCTGCTGTGTGTATGTAATATATTTTATCTTTCTTTGTAGTCTATGAGATTCGGCTTGGGACAATCGACCAATCGGAAGCAGACGTGGAATGGAGGCTAAAACCTTACATGAATACAGCGAAGAAAAGAAAGTTCTTGGCTTAGAAACTTGCGTTGTTGCCAATTGACAGAAAATGAATTATGACCTAGAGCTTTCGTTGCCATTTGCCTGTTTGCATGTGAACCATATTTTTTTAGACACGGAATAAGTCGAATATTGTGATGATACTAATGAAAAAAGATGCACGGTCTTCTATCGCGCAATAAGTCTTTCGAAGCTTAGGACATTGATAGGATGATATTTCCAATAATAAGCAATTTATGAAATCTACTCTATATGTCAGAGGCCGGTTGGTCAGAGCTGGCATGGATTAGCGCTAACCCTGGGTTAAAATTTAACCTGCTGTTTTAATTTATGTATTTCTACACGTCTGTTTATTTCAAAACCTTAGAGAAGAAAACTCCTATTGATCCAGACAAGATTTCTGAAGAAATATTTCCAAATTTATAAACAGGCTGTAAGGAAGTTTACTTTGAATTTTAGGTTATCCTAGGGTTAAGCTAATCTGCTTTCGACTGAACTTGCCCCAGGCCTAGAACCGCGCTCAAACTGGTGTACACGAATGACACATCTGAAAAATGAAAATACACGACTCGTTCCGTGTACTTGTCATTCTCCTCGACTAAATTTGAAGGAAATAAATAAAACAATTTATACTGTAGTTTATTTTTTTTTTCCTTCTTGTTAAAGGAAAACACATTTTTAATCATGAAGACTATTTACAAACAAAAAAAGTTCACGCTATCTATGTACAGGGTAATCTTTTACAGGTTGGTGTGGGAACTGGGGAGTTTTGCTGTGATTTTGTTGGCCGCAGTTTTAATGACATTTCATATATCTATTGCCTTGTTATGCAACGGATAAGAGAAGTAGAATGAGAGTAGGAATATCCAGGAAAAAGTGCTATTTTGAAACTTTTTCAAATTACAGTGGATTCTTCATAATTACTTTTGGCTACAAAAATCGTGAATTTTCCATTTTTTAAAAACTGTATCGAGCCACCTTAAGAAGCAAAACGGCACCAACCTTAATCTCAGCAAAAATCAATTTCAGGGGGGGGGGGTGATACCGAAGAGAAAAGGGTTGGGTAAACAAAATTTTGAGTAAGTAAAATGTTGGTTAAATGAAAAACAAAAAAAACTCGAGGGTTGGGTAATAAAAATTTAATATCATTTCCAAAGCATGACGCACTGAAATATTGGAAACTAGAAACCAATGTCAACAGTCATGTCAATACAATATGTGAATCAATCAGAGTCACTATCTTGATCATTTTCCGATTGTTTGGGAGACAAATGGTGTCTCCAAAGAAAGTACATGTGCAGACAACATGAAACTTGAGACTGCAGAAAATTTCGCAAGCCGTTATCAAACTCATGTCAAAGGACATGCGTGACAACTGAATGGTATCCTTTTGTAAAGTTTTTGGCCAGGAGTGGGTATTTATTTTTTAACTGATATTTGAGGTTAGTTGGGTCAGCAAAATTTTTGCCACGAAAAACATTTCTCTTCGGTGCCAGGCCCCACTATAAATAATGACCGGTCCCTTAGAACCAACGAAGTTTCAAAACTTATAGTATAACACACACTTTGGAACTACTTTTCTTCCGTTGCGTTTCTGTCGTTTCACTTTGAATCTCACCCACATTGTTATTTTTACCCTTCGAGTCTAAGGATTCTTCAATTCGTTGCATCTGGACGGAGAGATCTTTGTATTCTCTCTCCATTTGTCTCATTCTTTGGTCCTTCGCCTCGTCGTCTTTCACAAATCTTTTTAAACGTAGTTGAAGATCTTTCACTTTGCGTTCAGCTATTTCAAGATCTCTGCTCGTCTCAGAAAGCTTCTCTTGCAGGTAAATTTCTTTCTCTTGTTTTGCGATGACTTGACGTGCAAGGTAATCTAAAATGAATCATTAATAACTCACAAGGAAGACATAAGAAATCACTGGTTTTGTATGTAATAAAAAATCATTAATTTTACTTTGATTTTCTCAGCTTAGACAACGTTGATTTTTATAATTACTTCCTCAATGAACTCATAAGCCATTTAAAACACTCGCAGGGGGGCAAATTGCCCCGGGCCCCGAGGTGCTGGGGGCCCCTGAAAAATTTTTGTTGGGCCCCAGTCTTTTTTGTGTGTTAAATATTTCCGCGGAAAGGACAAGATATCTGTTTTCTTGGGCTAAGTACCGAAATTTGGCATAAAAAAATGAGATAAAGTCCCTGTAAAGTAATTGGAACGTACTCGTCCGGAAAAATTTTTTACTCCGGAAAAAAATTTTTTACCCCTAAAATGTTACACTGATCGAAAATTTTTTGGCGCCGGGGGGGGAGGTTGTTCTCCGGAAAAAATTTTTACTGGGAAAATTTTTGGGATAGGGGCCCCCAAAAAAAATTTGCCCCGGGCCCCCGCCAACCTCTCGGCGGCCCTGCGTGTTTGCATCTGATAAAGCACTCCTGCAATTCAATGTGTAAAGTATGAGAAGTTGTATATTATTTGGTATATTGAATTTATCTAATTTAGAACAAACTCTTAGTTTTCTCATTTTTACTGACCTGTTTGTACTCGATATGCCGTATTGCCACTATTAGCTCTTGGGCTTTCTTTCGCATCACTCTCTTTAATTTCATCATCGAGATGATCACTGGAAGTTTGCCCATTTTCCACATCGCTTTGTGGTTCACCCGAGACCAGACCACCATCACCCTTTACTGAACTTTCACTGGTAACCAACACTTGACCACCATCACCATCATCACTTTTCTCGGAATTTTCACTACTAACCACTGGTTGACCGTCTTCTTTAACTTTCTCGGAACTCTCACTGCTAACCACAGGTAGACCATCTTCTTTAACTTTCTCAGAACATTCACTACTAACCGCCGGCTGACCATCATCTTGAACTTGCTCGGAATTTTCACTGTTAACCACCGCTACTTCTTCTTTATCGCTGGGTGTGTTCCCGTCAGATTTCCTTCCGGCATCCACATCATCAGTCACCGCTAGTATCTCGTCAACCAGATCATCAATATTTTCACTTGGGACTTCGCTTTTGTTATCTTCCAGGCTGGAAACCTGTTCATGGTTACCCTCAAGGTTCGCTACCGGGCCCACCGCAATTTCAGATTCGTTTTCCTTACTTTCGGTTTGGTCTTTCTCAGCTAAAATTTCTTGTGTTTCTTCCACGGCAGTAATTTTTTCTGGAGAATCGATTTCTTGGTTTTCAGCATTTTCTTTACTGCCATTCTCAGGCACTTTTTCAACCAGTGCTTCATTGGTCTTATCATTCTGATTTTCTGTTTCATTCCCAGACCTTTCCTCCGTTGTCTTCTCAATCACTGCATCTGCCTTCTCCTTATTAACTCCTTCCTTTCCACCATCCTCTGTGCTTTCATTTTCGACTACTTCATTTCGCTCTCCAACTTGTTCCCCACCAACTCCATCATCATTTTTCTCTCCCTGATCACCTGTCTGTCTCCCATCCTCTTTTCGTTCATCATCTCCACTTTTATTCACTTCACTTTCATTTCTTCCAGTTTTTACAGCTTCGTTCTCTGTGGATGCTGTCGGTTTTTCATTGTCCTGATTTCCGGAATCCTTATCCTCCAAATCTCCATCTTTATCCGTATTTACTACTTCATTATCAACTTTTACACCATCACTACTCTTTGCCAACCCTTCATCACCATTCTTGTCCTCGACAGAAGCCTCGTGCCCCTCTTTGTCACTAGGAGAACCCTCTTTTCCTCTGTCACCCCCGATTTCAGGTGTCCCTGAATTCTCCTCTTTATCATTAGAAGACCCTTCTTGACCAATCTGTGTCCCAACATTCGCCTCTTTATCCACAGAAGATCCTTCCGCCACATTCTCAGACGTTTTCTCGCCAGAATTTTCGACATTTACTTTATTATTATTTTCCCCGCCAATGTCTTCAGAAACTGCTTCTTTACTCGTTTCGTCTGGTATATCTTTTGAATGTTCAGATGCCTTCTCTTCATTTCCAGTTTCCGCTTCAGGAGTTGCGTTTTCACTTTCAGTATTCGCCACATCTTCAGATTGCGAAACCTCTGTGCTTCCATTTGCATCGTCCTTATCTTTACTTCCATTGCCATCTGTTTCCTCTTCAGTTTTTTCCAGATTGCCATCCGATTCTTGAGCAGATCTTTCATCCACTGTCTTGCTATGGTTTTCAATCACCTCATCATCCTTAATCCCATCTTGCGCTCGATTCTCTACAGATTCTGGATTCATGTTGTGCTCTTTGCCTTCTGTGAAAAGCAAGAAAAAATGTTTGCTTGCGAATGATTTTAAGCAGCTGTTCACATGATCCTGCATCATGTGAACACCTGTCATTTGAGACATACAATACATATGCTTTGTTGTCGCATACATGCATAATGACGTGATGTACGGTGAAATTTTCAATTTTCCTCCCATATAGTCTATCAAGATATGATGATCTGGAAACTCAACAGAAGTGATTGTGTTATGTTTTTGCCTGAGTTGATGTTAATTTGTGCACGGTCATGGTGTTTGAGCCAAAAGGGATAGCTGAGATAAAACGTGCAACCACGATGAATAATACTTAATGAAGTTGAAATAATGGATTTGTGCATTTCAACATCAAACAAAGCTCTTCTATTTTGGCTTTGAAGTTTGCCGAGCTTCCAGACCATCATATCTAGACACTATGTTTTTGCGCACTTTACTGCAGGAACAGTTGAAAAAGCAAATATCAGGATTGGAAGAACATTAAAGAATGTTTCTAGGTCTGTCCCCAATGTTAAGTATAGTCGAGATCAAGAGATATAATAGGCGCTAAACTATGGTATTTAGACCAAAAATAGAACCTGCAAATAAGTGTTTAAAGTTCCTCGGATCCAGAATTTGGGGTTTTCAAATGTCCATCAAATGTCGGTGTAAATAGACGTAGCTACGACGCAAAGTAATCTTCAATGTAAATACTGCACAATACTTCAGGATGTCAAATGACTGATGTATGGTTTTGAACACGAAAACTTGATTTAAACTATCAAATTTTTATCAATAATGCTTACCTGACTGACTTGGGGCTTTTTCCTTTACGCTTGTAGCACTGCCGGGCTTTATTTCGGACTCTGTCATATCGAAAGGTGACAAAACTGTCGGTTTGGCACACACTACAATTATGACAGCAGCTGGCCGACAAATACTATACTATAAAGTCTATAAAAATATAAATTGAAATTATTACGGTAAAATTCTTGACTCAAAGATAAAATAATCTACAGCTATAGTATAGAAATACATTACACCAACACAGAAAAAATCATATATAGTATAGAATATACCATCCATATAACTATATCAAGAATATACCTCCAATGACATATAGCCAGCTATGGTTTGTAAACCTCTTTAAAAACCGAGTTTTTGCAAAGTTTTGCTAGTCTAGTTCTATTTTTTTAACTGTGTAGCTATATATTTGTCTATATGCGACTCCAACAAAAGCTGTTGTCAGTATAATTGCCATAATCACCTGATCTATATTTTATTTTTGTCAATCGAACTTATGAAGCATGTGTTAGTGTGAAAATGTTACATTATACAAAACGACTTCAGTTCCTTTATATTTCGCTTAATAAAAATACCAAAAGTCACGCTTCGACATTTAGTTCTGATTGAGCGAGAAAGGGGAATGAATGTTCAGAGTATACCCTCATCATAACTCCTTTCACCATAGTAACGGACTCATTTTCTTGCCACTCAAACAATCTAATTGCTATAATTGCAATTTTATTTGCATAAGTGCAATTTCGAATGTTTAAGAGCATCATACGAACACAATTTCGAAGGTTTTTATAGACGGGAATTTCGGGCGAAAGATGCGAAAAATATAACTATGCCAGCGGCCCTGCAATTCCAGTGCTCTAACCAACTGAGCTACATATAAGTAATGTTGCAATCTCAAAAGCCGATTGCAACATTACTTATATCGAATATATCTCTAAAATCAGTGAAGACATTTCACTGGTAAAGACTGCTGGTTTGCAGGCCATGAAACACAAGATAGATCCAGGGCATTTCATATCGTCAAAAATATAAACTTGGCCATACAATCGAAAGGCAAATAGAAACCATGTCTAACTTATAATGTGGTGTCCCATTTGTGTATAAGCACCGGTTATGGGCATAAGTCGTAACTGCAAATAAAAACCCACTGCTGAAATGCCGTGTATTTTAACTGCGCTGTACAGACTATAATAATTCGAAGCCAGTTTCACAATAACTATAGTAAAATTAACTTTCAAACACGTATAACATTTAACTCTAAAATCCTTTATATACGATATAGTCTAAACTGTCTAAAGTAAAAAACAACAAAATTAACAAATGCTCACCAGAATCGTCGAAGCTTATACAGCCAATTCCGGTTATATGTGACGGTGTAGTAGATTTATTCGGTCGTTCCACGGGTAAATCTAAGGACTGTTACGGTTAAACATAAATTTTCGGCTAAGTTGGTATGGGAACCGGGCTCAAAAGAACTTTTAACGAGCCCTCCATGGTAACAGCGTATAGAAAATAATTGAAAAGGATTAAGAAAGCAGACAACACTGAATGACAAGCGGCAGAAATGTAAACAAGCAGTCCATTGCCAGCAAGATTTATTTGAGTTCGGCTCAAGGTCTGCATACAAACTTTGTAAGATTTAATTATGATATGACAACGTCAAATGCTTGATGTATATGAATAATTTAAACTTTAGGCTTTTTGTAGTTGGAAAGTTTTTTAGCAACTAACTTTTCTACCTAAGTTTTGATGGGAAATGGGATTTAAATATCTACCTGTGCAATTATTGACCATTCTTAGATGGTTTTGGGAGAGTGTTAAAACTAAAAGTCAAGGAAATTATTAATGCAGGGAATCGAACTTAATCTTAGTGCTTTTACATTCATGATTTTCAGATGTATAAAGACTAAAGTCAAAGTTAAGTCTTTTTTAACAAGCCAAATGGCTTATCCCGAGATTTCCGGTTAATTCCCAATAGGTAAGCCTAAGGCTAAGTTCATAAGCAGACAAGTAAACGGGTCCCCTAGATGGGATATTGTCTAGAACTTCTGTTGGGGGGGCAAAGTGCTTGGTTGGGGGCTAATCTGTCATCCGGGATAAGGGACCGGTCATTATTTACTGTGGGGGTGACACCGAATTAGAGAAAAGGGTTGGGTAAACAAAATTTTGAGTAGGTAAAAGGTTGGGTAAATGAAAAACAAAACAACTCAAGGGTTGGGTAATAAAAAATTATTGTCATTTCCAAAGCATGACTCACTCAAATATTGAAGACTAAAAAGCAATGTCAACAATCATATGTCAATGCAATAAGTAAATCAGAGTCACTATCTTGATCATTTTCCGATTTGTCAGTGCATTTAAAATACTGCAAATTTTCATAATACACATTACTTTATTCCACAGTTTCACTATGGTTTAATGTAACATATCATATATACTGAATTACTATATGAATAACAGCGATCAAAAGTCAGATTTCTATATTATAACATCAATGTATGGCTAAGCCTTAGATATCAAATCTATATATACTAAATTACTAGATGCGATTCAAACTGGCAAAAAGATATCAAAAGTCAGATGTCTATCTGATAAAATAATTTAAGTTTAATGATTCGGTGTTTTATTGTAAAGGTTCCCAGCGTCTTCTATCACGCATGCGCGGGTTTCAGAACAAGTCTTTATATAGCATTAGCACGCTCCTCAAGCTGTTTCAATTGGTCCCACATTTCTTTTGGCAAATCGTCGTTTATTTGAACATCAAAGAAATTTTTAAGCTCTTTCACTTCGTTGAGCAGGAACTCCTTGTCAGTGGTCAGCAGTTTCTCCATGGTTTCCTTGGAAACGTCGATTCCTTCGGTGTTGATGGTTCCGGGTTTGGGAACGAAGCCAATCGCCTTCTTTTCAGCAATGTCTTCGCCGTCACAACGTTTGAAAATCCACTCCAAAACACGCGAGTTCTCGCCAAAACCTGTCAAATTGAAGACAAAAGTTTAATATATTACTAAATATAAAGTTAGCATTTTCGCAACCAGGGGAGAATTTAACGTGGGATGCAGGGTGGGGGATCCCCTTAGAGAAGTCCACCATATACTGTACTGTGCTACAGCAACTGTGTAGTCGCGCACACGTAAATAGCCGATATAAACTTTACAAACAAAAGATAATGTAAAACGTAACAGAACGGCAAACATGCAGATTTGGCCATCTCAAATAATGGTAATGTTGGGATAGTAGCGTTACAGACTGCAGAGGAAAGTGGGCAGTAAGACTCCCTCATGCACCACCCCATGGAAAACCTGCACACCTTCTTGCAGGTGGGGCTAGATGCGCCCCTGGAATTTGAATACAAAAATCTTCTATATATATACAGTTTTTGCTTCGAAATTTTATTACAAATTTAAAGTCCTTACCTGGCCATAAAAATTTATTGTCCTCTTGTCGGAACCAGTTAACATGGAAGATCTTGGGTAGTTTGGCATTGGGCCTCTTTTTCATATCCAACCAATGTTGAATATAGTGACCAATATTATATCCGAAGAATGGCCTCATGGCAAACGGATCGTGCATAACGGCGCGACCTTTGTATTCAGCGGCTGCTGTCGCTTCCGATTTCACGCATGCGCCAAGGAAGACGCCGTGTTCCCAATCGAAGGATTCGTAAATCAACGGAACACCATCGGGTCTTCGGCCTCCGAAGAGGATAGCCTCGACTGGAACACCGGCAGGTTTTTCCCAGTCAGGATCGATGATTGGACATTGGGAGACTGGTGCACAGAAACGAGAATTTGGATGCGCGGCTTTCTTACCGGAGTCTTTCGCCCACTTTTCGCCCAACCAGTCGGTGATTGTCAGCTTGTCAATGTCGGGGAACTCGTCTTCAAGGCCTAACAGGAGAAAGTAGAGTAAGTACTGTAAGTGGGTGTGTGCAAATCATCCTTACTTGCAGCTGAGAGCTAAGCTGAATTGCGAAGGACGCAGCTCAACCTGACCCAGTCGAAGGCTTACTAAAGCCCGTTTTCCACTCACGTATTTCGCCACCGAAAAAGTTCATTTGTTGTTCTTTCGCGCCGTCAACGAAATGTCAAACAGAAGTTGAAATTTTAAGCAACTGTAGCAGGAGAACAAGTTTCTTCAGCGGCGAATGAATGTAAAAAAATGATTTCTTTGTCAAAATTTTTCGCCAGCGGCGGCGAAATAACGGAGTGGAAAATAGGCATAAAGCCGGTTTTCCACTTGCGAATTTTTTCGCGCGAAGCGAATTTTTCCTTTGTCTTTATCCAATTAGTTCCAGATGGTTCCAGTTGAGAAACCAAAGACAAATGAAAAATTCACTTCGCGCGAAAAAATTCGCAAGTAGTGGAAAACCGGCTTAATTACTGTCGTTCCAATTGAAGTGTTGCTCAAATATTGATTCAATACATTACCTCGGGCTGACCAATTCATTTCATCAAGTTCCTCCAGATATTCATACACTTCCTAGTATAATTGTAAACTTCCTGTTGAATAGTTTGAATGCACAAATCACCTTTGTCGTTTGTGCAACTAACCAATCATAAATAGAAAGGAAGTGACCAGAAATGATCAAATACTTGGAATTGGCTCTTTCACAGGAAGTGTATGAATATCTCGAGGAACTTGATGAAATGAATTGGTCAGCCAGAGGTAATGTATTGAATCAATATTTCAGCAACACTTCAATTGGAACGACAGTAAGGGCGCCTCTGGCAGCCACCTTATGACTCATGTCTGATCACGGAGCACAACTACGGTGGAAGGGTCAGTTAGGGGGATAATCCGGTAATCGTTCCATGTTTCGCGCACCAATATAGTAAACGTTATGTAATGAATATTATAGTGTACTGAAAAGTTAACTGGATACCTCCATATACATATATACACACTCTAACCCTAACCTTAAACCTAACCCTAACCCCTAACCCTAACTTATATTGGTACGCGAAACATGGAACGATAACCGATAATCCTAACCCACCCTGTCAACATTCCCTGTGGGAGGAACCCAGAGCACCCGGAGAAAACCCACGACTTTCGGTAGAGAGTTGACTAACTCTTTTCACATAAGTGTCATTAGGTGTGAGGATCGAACCCAAAATCTCAGAGGTGAATGGCGCTTGCTGTATACAAGACATAATGAAGGAGTACACGCGAAAACATCTCACAGCTTGTCAACAAGATGTGTTCGCATTGCTTGTTCTCAGTTGTTAACAAGTCTGGAACAAGTTTTTAACAAATCTTGTAACAAGGTTGATGAGGCCAACAGACTCGTTGTTCCAACACGTCTGCACTTAACAAGTTGTTGACAAGTTGATGACAACAAGCTCGTAGCGACTTGTTACGAACAGCCTGTATTAGTCTTGTTGGAACAACTTATAGCAAGTGTGTTACCGTCATCAACCTTGTAACAAAATGATAACAACTTGTTCCAGACTTGTCACAACGACTTGGAACAAGCAGTGCGAACACATCCTGATATCGGTTTGGCAACAAACTTGTTACAACTAGTTTACTTGTTTGCGCGTTTTTACGAGTGTACGAGCCAAATCCCATGCAAAATCCGATATGATATTGAGATCTTCAAATGAAATTAAAAACCAGCATATTAAATCCTGTACATCCAAAAGGTCTTCCGTACCTTCCCAATAATATCGTCCATCATCAGTTTCAGCAATGTTGGTGAAAATCGTATTTGATTGGATAGCTGTCAATGCATTTGGATTGGTCTTATGTGAAGTACCAGGAGCCACACCAAAGAAGCCAGCTTCAGGGTTGATGCCCCTGAGATGACCCTCGTCATCATACCTCATCCAGGCAATGTCATCCCCCACGCACTCGTATTTCCAGCCTGGGAGAGAGGGGGTCATCATGGCAAGGTTTGTCTTGCCACAGCAGCTTGGGAAAGCGGCTGCAATATATTTCTTCTTGCCTTCAGGATTGGTTATGCCAAGAATCTTGAATTAGATTAGATAATAAATTTACTTAAAGTGCGACTAACCACTAATATGATTTTTGGTATGTGTAATATTTGGGTCATTCGAAGAGGAAATGCAATATCAGATCTTTATAACAAAAAAATCCATCTTCATCAACTTTTTCACTGTCAAAGTTTCCGGAATGATCATTAGGTGAATTTCAAATTAGTTTTCCTTTGTTTTTTATACCAAAAATTCACCTATTGACATCATATCCCGAAACTTTGACGGTGAAAAAGTTGACCAAGATGAGGTTTCTTACTATAAAGGTACATTACATTTCTTCTTAGAATGACCCGAATATACACATACCAAAAATCATATTTGGGGTTAGTCACTCTTTAATATAAGGAGCTTTGATTAATCTGGTAATTTTCTAATTGACAACTTAAATGTTATTCAAAAAGGTTCTATTGACTCAGTGGTAATTCATAAAGATATACATAAATTTCAATCGTATATAAAGTTCCTAATAGAAATACATTAAAAACACATTTAGCAAAAAAAAGTTTGTCTTATTGCAAAGAACACTATTATCTTGACAGCCCAGTGCCCAATATGAAAACTTGTTTATAGTAATTATTGTGGTTGTTATTTCAAATTTCAAATTGAATAAACACTTTTGAAAAACTTACTTAAACTTACTTAGGGGCTGTTTATGTGGAAGCTGGGCTGGCCCACTTAGCAGTTGCATCTTTTAACTTTCATCCAGGCAACCCATGCTAGCCCGCTTGCGAGTGTTTATATAGAAAATTTTCATCCCAGTTGTGAAACCTCGCCTCTTTCAAGCAAGCAACCGGGCCAGCCCGCTGTTCACAGTGAGATATCGCTCACCGGGCTGTCTCGCTAAGCGGGCCAGCCCGGCTTCCATATAAATAGCATCTTAGAAGTAATTTTTACAAGACTAACCCCCCACTATACAGATGTCATCAAGACTATAATTAACGAGGTTATATATATATATATATATAAATCTGCAAAAAGATTTTAGCCATAGTTTCAAAAGTTCATTCAAATGAGACAAACTAAATTCTTTATTGCCAACACCCTTTAATAACAGGTCTATAAAAATTAAAGTATAAATTTGTGAAAGATCAACACATAGTACATACCAACATATGTTCAGCCAACCATCCTTCATCTCTTGCAATCACCGAGGCAATTCTCAGAGCAAAACATTTCTTGCCGAGAAGAGAGTTTCCGCCATAGCCACTTCCGAATGAGATGATCTTTCGATCAACCGGAATGTGTGTGATCATCGTTTCATCTGGGTTGCACGGCCAATGGTACTCTGTTGGGGGAGCCGGGAGGGGGACACCTTCGGAATGCAGGCACCGCACAAAGGTTTCTTCGCCAAGCTGTTTGAGGACAGCCGCACCCATGCGAGTCATGATTCTCATGCATACAGCAACATAGGCAGAATCAGTGAGCTCAATGCCAACCTTAGACAGAGGAGAACCAAGAGGTCCCATACAGAACGGAACAACATACATTGTACGACCTGTAAAATATTTTGTTTTCAATCTCATTTTTGACCAAATTTCTGCAATTGCTTCGATTCTTGTTCATTTGGCGAGGCATTTCATTTGAAGGGAGAAGGGAGAAGTAATCCAGCTAAACAATTTTCACAATCAAAGAAAGAATGACCAACTTCTGAGAGAGAAAACAGAGTTTGGAAATTTCCTTAAAGTTTGATGAAAATTTAGAACAGATTTTAAGAAATCAACCTAACCTAACCTAACCCTAACCAACCCTAACCTAACCCTAACCTAACTCTAACTTAACCCTAACCCTAACCCAAACCTAGGTAGACATGTCCTGATTGTGCTCATAAAATCCCAAAATCAAATATTGCATTTGTAATAAGCAGTGGGCAACCCCCCACAAAAAAATATTTGCACTCCCTCAGACATTTTCCCCACCCCACATGGAGAAACTTGCGCATGCCCCCAGAAATTGAACTACTCACTGGATTGGACAGTTAAATGTGCTGATTTTGAACTAAATAATTAAGACCAAAATCTCGAAATGTCCTGGGGCTTTATCCCCTTACCCCAAACTCGGCAGCACTATGCGTCTCCTTGCTCACCTGCCCTCTGATACCCCATGCAGTGCAGAATCTGAAAATCGGTCTATGGGCTGTGAGCTATTTCCAAATAGTCATACTAAATATTATCACAGACTGTAAGTTGCATGAAATAAAGTAGTAATTATGTCAGTATACTTCATACCTGACATGCATTTAGGCAATCTTTTACTCATCTCTTCTTTCAGTTTCTCAGGAGCAATCCATTGACCAACTCGTCCTTTCGCATCACCTTTTGGCGTTGGGATGGTCTCGCCTTTCTTCTCCGTACAGATGAAAGTTTTCGATTCCACGCGAGCAACATCGTGTGGGTCTGTACGCGCCAACCAACTAAATTAAGTAAGATTTCCTAAATTACACTGTGCCTGAAGCTTATAAGCCAAAGTTTATAGCAGGGGGAAAGGCTGTGCAATGGGTATAAATTTTGCAGATTGTGATGTCACTTGTGCAAGGATTGTGAAGTCTCAAGATTGCCCCGGCCGCGGTGCGGATATTTGATATTTGCAAAAAATGTTTTAGTTATGCAACTGTGGGTTTAGTTATGCGTGGGTTCTACATTTCGACACTCGTGTTATTCCCCAGGGTAAGGGAATGGGTCCAGAAAACATCCACCCACGATCCAATACCAGTTAACTCAATTTATTTTACTTTACCCGGAACGATAACACTCAGTCATTTGGCAGCTAAAAAGTGAAGACTCGTGTGAGCAGTGGCATCAGCCCCCCACACCATATAGTATGTCAGTTTCAGTTCCCTTATATGCCATCACAGCGTGGTATATCATGAATCAGCGTGCATGAAGTGGCGTTAGCATTGACTTCACGTTTCTGCCGCATGTTATCGTTCCGGATAAAAGACACAGAGTTCACTGTGCAATGCTGGTACTTTTGACAAATGTCATTGTGCCTGGGGTGTGGATATTGACAATTGTTTTTTAAATGTCACAATCTCTGCCCATAGTCGAGCCCCTCCCTGAAAGGGGGGGGGGGGTGATAGGTTTTCGGATCGTCGGATTTCACAGAAAAAATTGTTCGGATTTATCTAATTTTTTGGCTCGGATTGTGGATTTAGCTTGCAATTTAGTTGGGATCCTGGATTGTGACTTCATAGTAGAGCTTTAAGCGGATTCAAATTTAGACAAGACCATTGTCGGATCGTGGATTTTGCTTCAAATTTGATCGGATCGGCGGATTTGTATATCCCTATTCACCCCCCCCCCCCTGAAATTACATTCCTGAAAATAATTTTAAAAATTTAATACTTACGGTGTCAATCCAAAAAATACAGAAAACCTACAAGAACATTGAGAAATTCGCCCAACACTTGCAGTTGACAATACAAGTTGCCCCATCTTCTGAAATTAATTGGTTTAATATTTTAATTATAAACTGAATAAAACTCTACCTATTCTTGTAAGCAGTCAACGGCTTGATCACATCGTCCTCATGTAGCATTTTAAGCAAACTGTCATTTTCCTCGTTGCTTCCATCACAAACGTAAAGCTTTGCCGGCATGCACAAGTCTGCACATTCGACCACAAACTGTTTCACTTTTGGAGCGAGAGCGTCTAGACTTCCTTTAACGATTTGGATATTTTCATTCAGTTTTAAATTGCTGAGGTCTCTTGGAGGACGTCCCGCTTCGATATCGAGAAAGCTTAAGTCGGGTTGAGCCATGGTTGAAAATTTCTTGTCAGTTCCTTCCTGCTCAATCTTGCAATAAAATGAAAAATATAAACTTTCGGGTTGCTTTTATACGCCGGCTGTTTTTGCTCGTGGAAAATCGCACGTTTTGAATTTCGTGGAAAATCGCACGTTTAGTGATAGGAAATTTTGATGAAAATAAAACAAAGAAATTGAGTAGTGGAAGTGAAATACTAAAAGTCTTACTAAAATTGTTTCACACTTCACAGAATTACAGAAAACAAATGGATTTTAAATGCTTTAGTTCTCTTTATAGGTTTATTAATACAAAGAATTTTATTAATGCTTGTTACTTTTTGCAATACAATGGCACTTGTAAGGAAATCTTGCGAAAATATTGTAGGTTAAAAGGATATTTGATATATGAAAAGCGGAAACATCAGATCCAATATCATCAAAAATTCAAAATATCAATTTCTCAATATATCAGGGTGCAAAAGATACTATCTTTTGTCATTTGATGCAAAAGCTATGCTTAATGATCACTTTGTCGAGATTAATTGTTTTATCTTTGTGGAGAACAAAACATTTACTCTATTTTTCAACCGAAGGAACTCTATATTAGTACTGGACTGTGAACTAGTTCCGCAATAAATGACACACTGCACGTTTTCAGAAGCATGACAAATGCCATGGCTTTGCCATGCCCATGCTGTGACGTATGCTTCGTGCAGTATTTCACTGTTTACACTAACACGGGCAGGAAGGGATGCAAAAAAAAACTTTTACAGATTCATCAACTCAAATGTATATTGATAGGTGCTACGCGCGCGCCTCTCATTCCCGTTTGAAATTGCTTTCCCAAAATGACCCCATGTTCATCAGTATTTCATGATTTACATGCGAAAAGCCTGCAGCTATGTAATAAAAATTAAATAATGCAATATTGGCTACAATATACTATTGCAAGTTTGCAACAATTGGTCGAGATATTGGCAGACATTAATAGAACATTTTATACTGTATTATAGTGCATTTAACTGGAATATATTGCAATTATATGAAGAAACTTATTGCAAAAACAAATTTGCTCCCGCGAGGCGAAATGGTCAAAACGTTTCGCAATAATTCAGAAATAAATTCACTTTTCAAGAACGTTTTATACAGCTGCGGAAACATGGATTCAGGAACATTTGCCCAAGGTCATTTACTGCTTATATCAAAACTTACATGAAGTATTGCAACAAGTATTTCACACCGCATTTGGCAATCAAAAGAAAAGCAACATTTATGAAACTATGAAAGCATAAAAATGATAAAATCTCAATTAATAACGCAAAACAGGTCACATAACGGTTTAGAATATTTTTCAGTCCTCAAAGATATAAAAAAGTTTAAAAAATATTAAAACAATATAAAATTAAAACGATTTTGAAAAAGTTAAAATATTTTACTAATCACACAGCAACGCGGGCGCGCCTTACTGAAACATTAATTTATACAAATTAGTGAAATTACAAATTTTCAATAATATTACAATTTGTAATTTACAAAATGACAAAGTTACTACAATGGCTCTGCTTTTTGGGGCTAATTTTTACGATATGGATAAGCTTATTAACAGATATTCTTCCTTTCAAAATAAGCAAGAACGTCAAAGATGTAGTTTTACCGGTATGGATAAAAATTGAGCGATATACACCTTGTATCTTTGGAAATTTTACATCAAATTAATAAAAACCATTTTCAACGTGGCATGTATACAAATGTTAGGCTTCTCTTGCGAGAACAGAATAATTTGATTATTTTGTTTTAATTTTATTTAGTTTCCTTTCTACATGGTGATAGTTTTTGGGGTAAGAGATTTGTTTATGCAGTTGAATTTCAATTCAGTACCACCCCCACCCCCCTACCTCAACATTTTGTTGAAGACTGTGTAAGTGCATATCCCCACCACCCCCATGCAGAATTTGCAACCGTAGACAAGTCAGAATGGTTCAGTATTTATTATATTCTAGTGATTAATTATCCAAACTTCCGAGGGTACACCCCCCTGGAAAATATGTTCCACCCTTACCAGACAAAGTGTAATTACTCTGTAATAATAAGGCCATGACACAGAATAGGAACCTTACAGAAGGTTGACTTCTTGGTTTTGCCTATGATTTTGGCATAACCATTGCAATGCTATCGCCATTGTCCTAGTCAGTGTGCTTATGAGAGGCATTAACCACCCTACCCTGGATTCCAGAGCCTTCGACAGTAAATAATAAATTGAAATGTCGCGAAGGCTCTGGTTCAACGGGGCGATTCTTTGATTAAACCGCGCCAATCACAAAACAGAATTAGTGGATTACTAAAACCACTAATTCTGTTTTGTGATTGGCACGGTTTAATCAAAGAATCGCCCCGTTGAACGAGAGCCTTTGCGACATTCCAATTTATTATTTACTGTTGAAGGCTCTGGAATCCAGGGTATCACCACCCTCAAAATATTCAAAATGCAGACTTTCAGGGGGGTGAATGCTTGTTATAAGCACATTGGCTAGGAACATGGTGACAGCATTTTGATGACGAATCATTGCGTGGCAGCGGTTATTTTCGGCAGAGTCAACCTTCTGTTTGTGTCTATTCTGTGGCCATCATGTGTTTCTTCTTATCATTTGCTAATGGCTGGCTTTATGTCTTGTTATAGTGTTACTCTCTGATAGTAATTGGTTATAGGGTACTAACTTTCAATGATTGCGAAGATGCTGCTGAATCGTTAAGAAAGGTATAAGTTGCGCATATGTAAATATATCCTTAGGCGTAAAAAAAAACATGTGGTTCCGGTTCCCGACCGACCCTATTTTTTCTGCCGACCCTATTATTTTTTGAACAACACGATTGACTGTGCGACCCTATTTTCTCCTGGTAGTTGCGGGCTACTGCCAAAATGGCATCTGTTGTCACACTAATTATTGAAAACACCATGAAAAAAATATTCAAAAAAAAATTTATTTCCGACCTACCACAGGTTTTTTTTTACGCCTTAGTATTTTGTTTATTTATATTCTAATTAAATCCTGTCTATTTCAATGTTTTAGGAAATACAAGAAGCCAGAAAAGATTTGTCAAAAAAAGGCTTTAAGTTCGAATAGATTACAATCTGCTAGTCATAATTAGAACCTTACTATTAGATAAATATGCATCCATGGACATTGAAGACATTCATAAAATATAGAGTTATTTATATGGCAATAAAAATATAAGCAGACAAGATTTTTTCAATGTTTATAAATATGCCCTTTTGATAATTACATCATTTGTGAATACTTTCTTAGCCTGGGAGCTTATATCTTAACCTCTCCATGAGGTCTTCTGGTCACAAAGAGATTTATGAAGTAATTATTGAAAGGGTGTATAGTTAGCCACAGACAGTAAGAATTTTATGTCAGGGTTTAGCTCATTAAAAGGTAATATGCTCTATGGGTATTGACAAACATTAGAAATGTAATAAAGCTTAGTTATGATAATGAACTTCTGTTTGGTATGGTTTCACCATGTAATTCAAAATTAAAATACAAATAATAAATTTAAATACCACTACTGTTTTTTTCATACGTTAGATTTTATATTATATTTCATTTTCTTATATACTGTATATATCATATATTCTTCATTCACAGAACAATGTAATAATTTGTTGATATTGATTGATAATCAATAATATTGATCAAGTTGATAATCGATTCTGAGTGATTGATTTGGACATCAGAAGAGACCTGAAAAAGTTTTAAATATTTCGTTCACAATAAGCTGATCTTTCATAACATCTGGGCCTTCCTCTTCGTTTATTCTGCTCAGACATATTCCAAGCTCGTTATGTCGGTGTTTGTATTCCGAGTAATTTGTCGTTGTTAAAATTGAATGAAGCAATGACAGGTACTCCGTCCTCAACTACAAAAGAACACAATATGTACAATGATGATTCCAGCCGAGACGAAATTTTGATCTAGACAAAGAAGAACGAAACCATTACCACAGCTGGAAAGAGCATCTTGAAATGAGTAAAATTGCAGAGTTTGGCTGCGAATTGTTGTAAAATGAGGAAAATTGTGCTCTGTGAAGTTCGAAAATTTTGTGTATATTTGTATTACGCGCGGGAAAAATAACCATTTTTGAGCTGAAAGTGGTTTTTACCGCGCGTCATACAAATATATACAAAATTTGCGAACTTCAATTTTCTTCATTTTACAACATTTAGCAACCAATCTTTGCCCTTTTACTCATGCTAAGGGACCGGTCATTATTTATGGCGGGGGGTGGCACCGAAGAGAAAAGGGTTGGGTAAACAAAATTTTGAGTGAGTAAAAGGTTGGGTAAATGAAAAACGAAACAACTCAAAGGTTGGGTAATAAAATTTATTGTCATTTCCAAAGCATGACTCACTCAAATATTGAAGACTGAGAACTTCAATGTCAACAGTCATATTTCAATACAATATGTGAATCAATCAGAGTCACTATCTTTATCATTTTCCGTTTTGTTGGGAGACAAATTTTGTCTCCAAAGAAAGTAAATGTACAGACAACATGAAACTTTAGACTGCAGAAAGTCAGTAAATTTCACAAGCCGAACGTTATCAAACTCGTATCACAGAAGTGGTAACTAGGACATGTGTGACAACTGAATGGTATCCTTTTGTAACGTTTTTGGCCAGGAGTGGGTATTTATTTTTTAAATGATACTTGAGGTTGGGTAATCAAATTTTTTATTTTTTAATGGTTGGGTCAGCAAAATGTTTGGCACGAAAAACATTTCTCTTCGGTGCCACCCCCCACCGTAAATAATGACCGGTCCCTAAGACGCTCTTTCTAGCTGTGGTGTTGGATTTTGTTCTTCTTGCCTTGATGAAAATTCAGTCTATACAGTAGCTGGAATCACCCATTACTTACAATTACTTCCATTAACGCAACAAGCTAATTAAAACAAATCCATCCCCCCCCCACTACCCCTGTGTTTGAGACACCCCTAGTTATACATAGTATCAAAAAACACACACCTCATCTCCCGGTGAGAGGTCCGATACTTGGCGAAAAACGATATCGATCAAAACCATGAGATCGTTCGTGAAAAATAATCCTGAAGTCGTCTCGCTGGAAAAAATATCTTCGAAAAATTTTAACAACGAATCCGGACAACGGTCGAGGTAACCAAATATGTTTACAGGGTCATCTGTTGGAGAAACAAGTAAAAGCATATCAAGGGCGGGTAGTAGCGAAGTAGTTGTAGTTCGCTACTGTAGCGAACTACAATTTTCAAGTAGCCAGTAGTTTTTGACTACTTTTTTAAGACAGTAGCTGTAGTTATAGCGAACTACATTTTGCCTAAAAGTAGCCAAGTAGTTGACTACTTTTCAAACAGCGAATCGCTATTCGCTACTTTTTAAAATTGTTAGCAACTTGATAGAATAGCATGATATTGAGACACGGTTTGCTTAAAACTATCAATACTCAATAGTCAATTTGCACTCCTGAACACTGTAGTGCTTACAAAAATGTTGCTTTGTGCTTACTGTTGCTACTCGTAAGTCGATTTGTTATAGGTTACATTACAGCCTGAGTAAGTAGATGCTCCAAATACATGCAGTAAAACTAAAAAATATAGCGTAGCGAAATAGCGAAATAGTTCGCTACATTTTTTAAGCAGTAGCTGTAGTCAGTAGCGAACTACTTTTGTTCAAAAGTAGCAGTAGTTGTAGCTGACTACATATTTTTGAAGTGGCTGTAGTTATAGCGAACTACAAAAATTTTGTAGTCAACCCACCCTTGAAGCATATATTGGTGTATATAACTAGCATATGTCATATGAGTTGACCAACAGACAATTCCCATGCATTATAGACAAATTTTAAAACTAGGCAAGGAGATGCAAATAAATCACCACAGCTAGAAAGAGCACACTAAAATTAGTAAAATTGCAAAGTGTGGTTGCGAAATGTTGTAAAATGCGGAAGATATAGCCTTGCAAAGTTTTCAAATTTTGTATACTTTTGTATTGCGTGCGGAAATTGCTACCATTTTCGGCCCAAATGTGGTAGCAATTTCCGCACGCAATACAAAAGTATACAAAATTTGCAAACTTTGCAAGGCTATATTTTCCGCATTTTACAACACTTCGCAACCAAACTTTGCAATTTTACTAATTTTAGTATGCTCTTTCCGGGAATATACTTTTTTTTCCCAAGATAACAATTAGTCTATAATGGGATTGTCTATTGATTAATGATGAGTCGTTAGGGATTGGGGTTACGGATATGATCAGGCCATCAGGGCATAGTCAATAGAATAAGAATGTAAAGCCTGGTCCCATATGGTCGTAAAGATTGAGTCACGATCTCATCAGTCGAAATACAAAATTTTAGAACTGAAAATACGCGGAGTGATTATAACTAGAGAATACTGTACTTATGATTTATACTGATCTGGTTTACAGGTAGAAACTATTATAAACTGGCCGTTGAGAAAGATCGTGACTCTATTTTTACGACTATATGGAAACCAGACACAAAGTAATTATATTGATCGCTACCTCTTATTTTCTACTGAATTTAAAACAACCTCTCACCTCCTCTATTTACAAGCAACATGAGTTTTTCCGTCAATGTTTTCGATGTTCCTCGGTCAGATAACACTTGCATAACGATATTCTTCTTTACATCTGTGGTGAAAATATGAACCCGGTTTCAAAACGAAATTTCCTTTCCGAAAATGTTTGCCACTCAATTCAAAATACCTCACCCTCAAAATGTTGATTGTAGGATAAGATTAGCGTGACAAAAGCATTGACCAGAGTGTCCTCGTCGTCTTTGCTGCATGGTGGATTTTCGACGGTGTTAACCAAATATTCCACAAATTTTTTGTTTAAATATTCTGCAGTGGAACATAGGTGGATCAGAATATATAAAAACTATAACAAGTGGAATTTTTAATATATAAATACAATCAAGTACAATATATAAATCACACAACCACGATCTGACCGCTTCGGCTCAGTTGGCAGAGCATTGGGCTAGTATTCCAAAGGTCGTAGGTTCGATTCCCACCGTGGCCAGGCATATTTTTCAATTTTGCCCGGTGTGGATATACACTCAGAGTAACACCACAAGCATCTTACCATAATGTTGATAAGGAATAGCTTCACCAGTTGAAAATATCATCGTACATAACCTTGCAGAACTTACCAACTTTTCAAGATCTGCAGAAGAAAGGTTCATTCATTGGTGAGAGGATTTTCCAACAGGGAATTGCCAATTTGATAGGGGATCCGAGGTGCCTACGATATAACGACCTTATCCGAGAAGCAGGCTCTTAGCTAGAGGGCCGTGTTGGCCGTGTTATCGCGGCCAAAAGTGGAAAAACACGGCTAGATAAAATGAACGCGGCTTCACTATTTATATAAGGCCGTGTAGGTTCATAAAATAAGGTGGTGCTACTTACAACAGACAGAATTTCTTCCTATTTACGTCGTAAGAAAGTTTGTAAAATCTACTGTTGTTGTTGAATTGGCAAAAGTGATTCGTGATGTTTTAATATTTTGATGGATAATGGGAACTGTATGGTGTTAAAATGGTTTTAAATACCCCCAAGAGTTGCTGAAATAACTTAATATTTTAATGTCAGTGCGCAATATGAGCGTATGCTCGCCTTGTATTTGGTTGCAAAGCATAGAACAACCACAAGAATTATTGTTGGCGAGCATAACTAGAACCCTGATTTTGCTATTCAAGGTAATTGACATGTGCACGCCCTGGTCATTAGAAACACGCCCAAGATCTAAAATCCTAGCTAAGACCCTGCCGAGAAGATGCGAAAGTCTAACCATTTGTACTGATGTCAATGTAAAGGTAGCTCTTTCTCCTCAGTTATTTTAAGACCACGAGTAGAGGTCCGACCAAGGATTGAACCCGGGTCTCCCAGCTTGAAAGGCAAGCGTTGTGACCACGACACATGCACAAGTGCTGGTCAAACATAGGCGTACCGGGCGGGGGGG